TTTGAGTATTAGAAAATGAAAGCAATTTCGACTGTCAAGGATTCGATAATCAGAGAAAACTAGTCCTGCTGTACAAGTCACATATCCCCTTGATGCTCAATTACAGTGATCTGTAAAAATAATATGAGTCAAATTTCACCATTAAAAAAAAAACTTTAAAAAAGGCACAAGCTCTTTCACTGGGCTGGAATTTACTGCAATCAACACTGTTCGAAGTCTCATTGCTAGTAAGCTGCTAGGTCGTTTTCCTAGGGTCAAGGACGGACATAAAACAAAGCAGGGGCGACCTTCCTCATGGGTCTGCTAAAGGTGCCCAACCATGCAGACCGTGTCAGCAATGCACTCGTGCAGCAGCCAGTCCTCTTGTCCCTCTGATGTGTCCTTTCGGGTTGTTTTGTTCCTCAGAGAGTTGGGTCAATTATAATCCCTTGTAATTTTTTTAGGAAAGTCGTGTTTTACTTCTTATTTGTGCTATACTAGCTTGAGCTACTGTGTCATAGTTCTCTTCCAGTTTGTATACTGCCATACACTCAAGCGTTAGATGTTTCATTATCACAAGCCACTAAGACTGATAAAAGAACATTGATTGTACTGAGATTGTATATCTATCACACATTTATAATATATATGAGAAAATGTCAGTAGAACAAGACCAACAAAGCATTATTATCATGGGGCCATTGGTCAGAGCATAGAGATATTTTCATTGGACTAAATTTGGGGTTTCAGTGGTATTCATAATAATGGTATTTGCCTTATAATAATAATGTACAACCCCCTATGGTGTAATAAAAAGCAACATTTTCCCATGCAGGAACTGAATTGAAAATACAAATGTGAGGCTCTGAAACTTCTATAAGACCAAAAGCTGCTTGTATGTGAGTTAACTGAGAAAGTTAGTTCTTGTTAGTGAATGTTTAATAGAATTCCAGAGAAGATCAACAGAGTTTATTCATTCCACACATGTATTTATCATCTACAATGTGCATGATCCTTCAAGGTGTCTAGGGATTTAACAGTGACCAAAAAAAGAGACATATTTCTTCATTTGTTGAGCTTACAGTCTAGGGAATAACTAATAAGTAAATCTAGAAATTAAATAAGAGAAATAAGAAACTATGTGCTATACTATGTTAGAGAGAAATACATGCTAAGGGAAATAAGACAAAAAGGGATTTTTGAGAGATGTGATTTTTAGATAAAGTGGAAGTGCAAAGTTGCTTTAATCATAATTAAAATGCCAAAAGTTAAAGGTAAATAGAGAATCTTAAAAGCAGCAAGAGAAAAGCAGAGAGTTTCCTACAAAGGAGTTCCTATAAGGCTATCAGCTGATTTCTCAAAAGAAACTTTGCAGGCAAGAAGGGGCTGGACAGAAGTGTTTAAAGTCGTGAAAGGCAAGCACATACAACCTAGATGACTCTATCCAGCAAAGCTATCATTTAGAATGGAAGGGCAGATCAAGTGCTTCCCAGATAAGGTAAAGATAAAGGAGTTTATCATCACCAAGCCCTTATTATATGAAATGTTAAAGGGATTTATTTAAGAAACAAAAGAAGATCAAAACTATGAACATGAAAATGGCAACAAATTTGCAACTTATCAACAACTGAATCTAAGAAACAAACTAAGCAAACAAGCAGAACAGAAACAGAATGATAGATATGGAAAATCATTTGGAGGGTTATCAACTGGGAGGAGGAAGGGGGAAATGGGGGAAAAGGTACAGCAATTAAGAAGTGCAAATTGGCAGGTACAAAACAGACAGGGGAATGTTAAGCACAGTATAGGAAATGGAGAAGCCAGAGAATCTATAAGCATGACCCATGGACATGAACTAAGGAGGGGACTGCTGGAGGGGGTAGGGGTACCTATAGAGGGGGAAAAGGGGGGAAAATTGGGAAAAAATGTAATAGCATAATCAATAAAACATATCTTTTAAAAAAAGAATATAACTTTAAATAAGCATCTGAAAAGAGGAGGAAACTATCAGTGAGACTAGCTGGGGGAAGAAAATTCCAGGCAGAGGGAACAGCAAGGGGGAAAGCTCTGAGGTGTAAATACTCAAGTGCATAAACACTGCTTCTTTCCTTTTGAGATCACACCATAAGAGACTCAGGGGACAGAAAGCCACAGCCTGACAGGTTTGTGGATGACAGAATAACTAAATAGTCAGGGGCAAGTCAGGAGGGGTTCGTGCAAGGGAGGGACCCACAGGCAGGCTGAGACCAAAAAGCTACATAAAAACATCAAACCAGATTCTCAGCTATAGACAGAGCAGTGAGGAATCCAGAAAGAACCAGCAGCACCAGGGCTGTCCAACCCACGGACCCCATGATGTCTATGAATGCAGCCCAACACAAAATCGTAAGTTTACTTAAAACGTTTTTTTGCTCATCAGTTTTTGTTAGTGATTGTGTATTTAAGGTGTGGCCCAAGGCAACTCTTCTTCCAGGTGGCCCAGAGATGCCAAAAGGCTGGACACCCTCATTCTAGATGCTGAAGACTTAAAGAGAGATTTCAGCCACCGTTCTACACAGAGAAGATATAATTTGGAGCTTAAGTCCAACCAAGTAAACTGCATTATAGAACACATTTCACTTTTCAGAAGAACAAACTAGAACCCAGGGTCTCTATAAAAATATCATTTATAATGCTCAGTATCACTATATATGCGATGTCCCTAAACGAGTGAATATGCAGGAAAGTGTGACTCTCGGGTTCCTTCTGACACCGCACGAGGGTTTTTTCCCTCAGCACCCATGAACGGTGTCTCTTCCAGCAGCAGTTCTCCAGTTCTCAGTCTGGACTTAGTGCAGACTCCACGAGTTAAGGGACTTAGTCCGACAGGTCTCTGGTCACAAATTTTTCATCAACTGATCAGTACACAACTTTGTTTTATGTGTGTTTCTGCTTAAAGACAAGTTATTTAATATATAATGTTGCTACATTAACACGGAACTCAGCCAACAGCTTTATAACTCACGCCTGAATGAAGTTTACCTAATACAATTTTTTCTCACAGACATCTTGCACTTAGGGACACTGGACAGAACTTCAGTCTTATACTTGGAGGTTATTTTAAAGAGCAAAATCACCAACAAAAATCCAAACCAAAAAATGCGAACAATGAGAGATGACACAAGAAAGCAGAGCAGCACCCCGTATGATCTCAGCTGGGGATGCAGAGACCAAGTGATTCAAACTTGTCTCCTCTCTACACACGTCTGCAAATGACCATAAATGAGCCATCAGTACTGATTTGGGGGTTACAAATAAACTTCAGTGATAGATAAATTTGCAAATATAGAAACCATGAATATAGAACCCAGAATGATTACACATATGTATTCTTCTCTTAATTAAAAGTTACAAGCCCTGGCTGGTGTAGCTCAGTGGATTGAGCACGGGCCTGCGAACCAGACAATCGTGGTTCGATTCCCAGTCAGGGCACATGCCTGGGTTGCAGGCCAGTTCCCAGCAGGGGACACATGAGAGGCAACCATACATTGATGTTTCTCTGCCTCTCTCCTTCCCTTCCCCTCTAAAGATAAATAAATAAAATATCTTTAAAAAATAGTACACATTTAAAAGTCACATATAACATGTTATCACTTATAAATTATCTGTGGGATTTGTAACCCATGTACAACTAATATAAATGATAAAATAACACAAATAATGAGGGGTAAATAAATCTACACTGTTTCAATGTAACTATACTTTATGTTAAGTAATATGGTATTAACTCTAAGTAAATCATGAAAGTTAACAATGCATATTGTAATCCCAAGAGAAATCACCAAAAATAAATGCAAAAAGTATAGCTAAAAAGTCAATAAAGGAAATAAAATAGAACATTAAAATGTTCTATCACCTCTAAAAACTTCAGGAAAGGAGAAATAAAAACATATGAAATAGAGAGTAAAGAGCAAAATCACAGACCTAAGTCTAGCTACATCAGTAATTACACTAAATTTAAGTGATTAAGCACTTCAGTAAAAGCCAAAGATTGACAGAATGGAGTTAAAAAATACATACCTCTGTACTCTCTATAAAAGATGCACATTAATGCAAAAATACAAATAAGTTGAACATAAATTGATGGAATATGTTTATTATTAAGATACCACTGATATGATTGTTGGAGTAGCTATATTAATATGAGACAAAATAAACTTTAAGACAAGATAAAATATAATATCTCAGATATCAAAAAAGGGTGAATTCATCACAAAGCATAAAATTTTTAAATGACAATGGACTTTCAAACACATGAAGTGCAAACTTATATAATGAAGAGGAGAGGCAGACAAGTACACAAACTGGGGGTTTGTAACACTCTTTTTTTGCAGTAACTGATAGGATAGTTAGACAAAAAAAACCCCAGCAAGAATAAAGAAGATTGGATCACTGTTAACCATCCTGACTTTATTACATTTGTGGAGCATTACCCCCTCTAACTGCAGAATGAACATTTATTTTCAGAGACATGAGACATTCTTTAGAATAGACCATAGGCTGGGCTTATAAAAGGTCTCACTCAGTATACTTCAAATGATTGAAATATTATAGAGTAGGTTCTCTGATCACAAGAAATCTAAATTAGATAAAAAACAACAGCTATCTAGAAAAGCCACAAACATATGGAAATAAAATAATACATTTCTATACAACCCATGGATCAAAGAAGAAATCACAAGAGAGGTATGAATAATTCTTATTTGAATGACAATAAAAGTACGACAAACCAAAAAGCTGTGTGATGTAGCTAAAACACTGCTTAAAGTGATAGGTAAGTTTTTAAATGCCCATGAAGGAAAGAACTGATTTCAATGATCTTTAACATGCTAGAAAAAAAGATGAGCAAAGTAAATCCTAAGTAAGTAGAACAAAGAAAATAATAAAGAGCAGAAATCAATAAAATAGAAAGAAGAAAAATTAAAAGCCAAATATAGTTCTTTCAAAATATTAGTAAAATCAATACTCCCATAATAAAATTGATACTTACCTGGCAGGGGAGGTACCACGATCACAAAGGTGGTTTCCCCAGGGTGAGGCGTACCTATGGCACTTCCAGATGGGGTGACGCCTGCGATTTCCTTGAGTGTGGGAAAATCGGCTGCATAATTTGTGGTAGTGGGGGACTGCATTCACGCTCTCCACTGGCAAATAAATAAATAAATAAATAAATAAATAAATAAATAGATTAAAGGGCCTTGGCCAGTGTGGTTCAGTTGGTTGGATCATCATCCTGGGGACTGAAAGGTCATGAGTTTGATTCCATATCAGGGCACATACCCAAGTTGCATGTTCAATCTCCAGTCAGGGTGTGTGAAAGAAGGCAATTGATCAATGTCTCTCTCTCTCTCTGTCTGTCTCTCTCTCTTTCTTCCTCCCTCCCTTCCTCTCTCTCTAAGAAAAGCAATGAAAAAATGTCCTCAGATGGGGATTAAAAAAATTAGTCAAATGGAAAAAAGAAAACACAAATTATAAACATGAGGAATAAGATCCCATTGTACAAGGTCAATATGTAAAAAACAATTATATTTTTATTTACTATAAACAAAAAATGGACATTTAAAATTAATTCCATTTATAATATCATCAGAAAACATAAAATGCCTAGAAATAAATATAACATAAGATGAGCAAAACCTCTTTACTTAAAACTATTAAATCTGGGGGCATGGGGGTGGTAAATGCAGACAACTATAATTGAACAATAGTAAAATAATTTTTTAAAAGTATTAAATCTGAGAGAAATTACAGATCTAAATAAATGAATAGATATGCTAATTTATAAATTAGGGAACTCAATATTATCAAGATACCATGTTTCCTCAAATAAATCTAGAGATTTGATGCAATCAGTGTCATATCACCAAGTATTTTTGTAGAAATTAAATAGCTGATCCCAAAGTTTATATGAAATGCAAATGACTTAGAATAAATAGCTAAGCAATTTGACAAATAGAATCAAGTTCAAGGACTTCCATATATTATCTGCCTTCAAAAATTACTACAAGCCTGCAGTAATCAATTCAATGAGGTATTGGCATTAGGGTAAACAAATATATCATAATAAAGAATAAAGAAACAGACCAACATTTGTATGGTCAATTAATTGATTAGTGGATTTGGTTATGTCCTAAACACCCACAGAAACAAGATCCTTGTTTGCCAAAAAGATCCTTGATATTTAGTCTTGCCTAAAAGGTCCATGAAGACAACTGATCCATAGATAATATAAATATTGCTCTACTGCATGATTCAAACCCTGATCCACCTGCCTAACCCCTTATGCCACTACCAGCCCGGATATGGAGGCAAGAAGGGTTATTATTGGCAATATGGCCACAACACAAGTACTGACCCATAAAATACATGATAGTATTTTATGTTTAATCCTGTACACCAAAGCTAGAAATAAACCTCTTGGGTTATTTGAACCCAGGACGTTTTTCTAAGCATTGAAATTTCAGACAGAACCAAATATCAAGGACTGTTTGGCATGGACCAAATGTCACCATGAACATTTTGGACAAAACCAAATGTCCTTCAATGAATCGGTTTTTAACAAAAATGCTAAAGCAACTCTAGTGCAGGAATGGAAAGCATTTTAAACCAATGGTGCTGTAGCCAACGGATATCCACATGGAAAGGAAGAAAGATCTCAGTTCCCTTATACCATAGCAAAAAATTAATTTTAGGTGATGTTAGACCTAACCATGAAAGCTAAAATTATAGCTTTTAGGAGAAAAGTGTTGCCCTGGCTGGCGTAGCTCAGTGGATCGAGCACGGGCCTGTGAACCAGAGTATTGAGGTTCAATTCCCAGTCAGGGCACATGCCTGGGTTGCAGGCCAGGTTCCAGCAGGGGATGCATAAGAGGCAACCATACATTGATATTTCTCTCCCACTCTTTCTCCTTCCCTTCCCCTCTCTCGAAAAATAAATAAATAAAATATTTTTTTAAAAAAACTTTTTAAAAAAGAAGAAAAGTGTTTAGAAAACATAGGAGAATAACTTCATAACCTGGGAATTAGTGAGCATTTCTTAAAAAAAAAAAGAAAGCAGTAACCAGAAAAGAAAACATTTGATAAGTTATTCAGTATTGAAATTAAAAACTTTCGCTCACGCACAAAAGACAACAACAATGTAGAGACAATGACCTGACAATCCATAGGCTGGAGAGAAAATATTCATAAAACGTGTGTCTGACAAAGGCCTTGTATGCAAAATAGTTAAAGAATCCAGTTTTTTAAGTGGGCAAATGAGAGCCACATCACAAAAGAAGATATACAAGCAACCAATAAGCACACAAGTATTCATCCTTAGCCATAGAGGAAAAGTTAATAAAAACACAAGGAGATACTCCAACACACCAACCCCAAACACTGAAATTAAAAACATGGGCAAATACCAAATGTGAACAAGGCTTCAGAACCATCAGAACTCTCCTACATTGCTGGTGGGAATGTAAAATTCTATAACCACTTTGAAAACTAACAGGACAAAAGCCCTCTCTTTCTCAGGCCCTCTTTGCCAGAGCTGGCTGAACCCCATAAAGCATGAGTGACCCTAATTGTTTTGTGAGCCTTTATCCTCAGGACTAGAAAATTACTGGTAGTGCCCTGAAGGCTCAAAGGCCCCAGGAACTTACAAAACAAGACATACTAGACCACCACCCAGGCTGGACCCTGCACCCAAAGATAACGTCCAAAAAAGTTGCAGCCCAGCTGAAACACCCTGCTCTACAACCGCCCCATCACCCGTCGAAAGCCCAAAGTCCTAACCCCTCTGGGCTGGTGCTCGTCTCTGCACCCAGCCCTTCCCCTCTCTTGGGGAAGTGAAAATATGCTCTTCCTTCTCTGTCACCGACCACCCTAACAAACACTGTTTGGCAGTTCCTTAAAAAGTTATACACCCACTTATATCTTTTGACTCCACAATTTCAGTCCTCATTATTTGTCCAACTGAAATTAAACCAAATGTCTATCAAAAGATATGTACAGGAAAGTTTACGGCAGCTTTTATTCGCAGTTGCTGGCAACTGGATAGAGCCCAAGTATCCATGAAGAAAAGAATGTATAAACTAACTGTGGTGTAGTTGTGCAATGAAATACTACTTAGCAAAAAAGAAAAAAAAGGAAGGTAATGAACTACATGTACATGCAAGAATTATTAATTATGCAGAGTAAAGAAAAAATATTGTATGATTCCATTTATATGATTTTTTAAGGTTTTTATTTTTTTAATATTTTATTTATTTATTTTTCAAGAGAGGGGAAGGGAAGGAGAAAGAGTGGGAGAGAAACATCAATGTATGGTTGCCTCTCATGCATCCCCTGCTGGAACCTGGCCTGCAACCCAGGCATGTGCCCTGACTGGGAATCGAACCTCGATACTCTGGTTTGCAGGCCCACACTCAATCCACTGAGCTATGCCAGCCAGGGCCCATTTATATGATGTTTTAAAACAGTCAAAAATGTCTAAGATAACTTGGAAGTGTCAAGAGGGAAATTTCCAGAGAGATAAAAATGTTATATTTGCAATAGGTATGAGTTGCATAGGTATATCTATTCAATAAAACTGGGCAGCTAGGATTCGTGCATTTCAGTATACATAAATTGGATAATACTGATAATAACCAAGTGGGGCTAGGGAGTAAGTAGAGTTATAGACGGCACAAAAGAACTGCTATTATGACAACTGTTGAAGCTAAATGATGGTCACACATTGGCTCAATATTTGATCCTATTTGTTTTGTATATGGGTGAAATTTTCTATAAAATTGTTTTTTAAATGTTTAAAAGCCAATAAACTCATAATTAGGGCAGAGACAATAAGTAATATCAGGCCACTGGCCTCAATTTGAGGCCCATTTTACTATGAATATTTAAACATTTTATTTTTAAGTTATTTTAAGGAAAACATCCTCCCAGTTGAAATTTTATGGCCTTACCATTAGCATTCCATCAACACATAGGAATGCCCACTATGTCCAGGTTCTTTGCCTAACACCTCTTAGGAAAGTGCTCAAAGATGTGGGTGTCCCTGGGCATGGTAAGCTGGGCAAATTTTCTTGGGAAAGGCATTCAATGTGTTGGGATAAAGTCACTTAGGGACTTCAAAGTGTCTGCTTTCTGAGGAGTTTCATCTGAAACGAGAGCGCTCTTGGTATGAGTTACCCTGAGACGTGACTTAGCCCAGCTGTTGAGTTTCCTCTGCGGCAGCCACCCCGACAACCTGCTCACTCCAAGGGCAGGTCTGTGGCTGGGTTTCTGCACACACTTCTGCATTCTTTACCGCAGCCTTCTGAAGGCAGAAAGGGGTTTTGTTTTTTTTTTCTTGTCAGAGTCACTTTAACATTCTTAGAGCTTCTCCTAAGAGATTTTTTCTAGAAGAAATGAGGAATGGAGCCTTTTCTGTTGACATGATGTGAGTATACATTTAGCAGCTGCTTCTGAGCTTGTGGTTCTTTCCTGTCCACTGGCCCCCAATCCCAGACCTCGTCCTCCTGGAAATGGGATATAATCTGCAGGCTCCCCCAAACCCCCATTTCCACCTTTCCATGTCATCCTTACATAGTGATAATGTGAATGGAAATAGATAAAGGGACATAAATGGTTAATGACTCATTGTGTGATGAAGAATTTGGGGACAAAATTGACTATTACCAAAGCTACTTTCCTTAAGTCCCTGGAGATTATGAGGGAGAGAGAGAGAGAGAAATAGGGGGGGAGAGAGAAAGAGGGAGGAGGAATGAGAGGTGGAAGGAAAAAAAGGAAAAATAAAGATTCTCTCCAACAATCTAACAAAACCAGTCTTAACTGCGTTCATTCATGGTACAAAAAGGCTTATGTACACTCCAATTTACTACAGCAGAGAACCTGGGCCTCCCTCCCTAGGAGGAACATGTAGCTTTGCAGGGGCCTTTGACTCGCCCTGAAACAATATGGTAAAAGCAGTTTGCAGTGGAGGGGAGGGGAACAGAAAAGCAATTCTTCCACTGACACATGCCCAGAATGCCCAGCAGTCTACAAAAGCCAGGAAGCCTCATCAGTTACCAGAGCAGAGATTTGCCTTTTTTTTTTTTTAAACACACTTAATCTATCTTTGCACTTTGTATCAGCAAGTAGGAGTAGTGTGGTTTCATTTGGTTTG